CTTTAACGCCGCATAACGTTGCAAATGACGTCGGCGTGCTCCGGGTGTTTGTTATATGGTTATTTACTTTTTTTATTATGTTTAAGTTTCTGTGTGTATGATGATGATATTTTCAGATACTGTACAGTATAAATTGAAATAAATGCGTATATATTTATATTAACGCTAACCCAACTACAATGTGTGCTATAAAACAATTCTCAGAACTTCCCGAACAACCCTCGTACATAAAAGATGTATATATATATATATCCTGTTTTTATAACTTTTATATGAAGCTCCAAATGGAGCAATTTCTAGCCTACCACAAAGAAACCGTAGTCAATATATTTCAATCATTAAAGAAGAGAAAAGTAAGTGCATAAACTGAAATTGAAAAGTAAATCATTTTAGAAGAAGTTAATTTGTAAAGACATGTCTATACAACTCGTGGTAGTGCAACTAAAACATTTAAAAATCATCCGACAAAAACATGCCACATATTACATTGGACCTAAACAAGGATTGAGTAATATCTTTAGAAAATCATCGAAAACTGAAAGAAATATCATCGTCAGCACTTTTTAAAACATGCACATGCATGTGTCTAATTAAAGTGCAAACCACATTGTAATTGAATGTGGTTAAAATGCGTAACATAGTATAGAATAGCTGTCTGTCAAAGCTTTAGACCATGCATTTTAATTGCAATGCTACCTTTTCTAAATGCAATGACAGATATAAATTGCACCAAAAAAAAACAAAAAAACACATTATTTTGGGAGAAAAAAAAAAACATATTCGTGAAGACGTAAATAAATCGTCTTTAAATAAGAAGAATAGTGGTCCGCATAACTTAGTTATAAAGGTATCTAATGGGAATATGTGGGCTTATATAAATCGGCTGTTTGTGTACTTCCAAACAACCGTTTTGTACTGCCCTAAAATATGGTTATTAAGAAACTTTATAATACAAAAAACCTTTTTTTGAGAGAGAGAGAGGGCGAGGGCTGAAGAAACCCCAGACTGAAGTTAGGTACTGAATGCTAAGTACTGTGTTCAGATACAAACTTTATCAATTAAGGATGATATGGGCTGAAAGGGAAAATGCTTTATATTTAGCAGTCAGTTAAGAACAATAATTCTTAAAGTCATTTTTTATAAAAATCGGCATTCCCCCCCCCCCGCAAAAAGAATCACAATTGCTAAAAAATTCCTCCACCCTCGGAACTTTGAATGAACTGGTAATGTGAGGCCACTTTCTTTCAACACGAATTTCCTTTGCTTATTAAGTCAAAAGAACGTAATTGAATGGGATTCTTACCTTGACAAATGGATCCCAAAATTTCGCCATAAATCACATATACTTTACAACATGTTTTCATTGAAATTCCATACAAAACGTTCACCATATTTCCAGTTTTGAACAATCAAAAGAGGTCAGTTTAGCAATTAAACACAAGCTACTTAAACTTGCATCTTATTTCCTAAATACGTCATTAAATAATGACCTGACAAAATCACCGAGTCCAATAGTTCAGTGTAGATTACAAACAAATGGAAACTCATGAAAATTAGCCCCATTTCGTTAATTTATTTTGGAAATTACTAAATACTGCCCCCCCCCCCCAAAAAAAAATGCACACATTCTGTGGACATATTTGATGCGAATATTAAAGACGAAATAAAGGCTCCGAAAATTGCTTTCTTCTCAAAATATTGACACTTAAAGAACGCTTTCACAAATTTTGGGACTACATCTACATTATACATGTATTGTTTAACAATCAATTCTGATTATGCTAGTAAGTTTAAAAGTTTAAAAAGATAAAAAGTAAAAGTTCTACAGTACTATTAATTTAAGAGACATAGTGTGCAAATTAGAATTTTCAATAGCATTTGTTGAAAAAACAAAAGGGATTGATATAGATAAAGTAATTTGGATAAACGTTAGTTTATTTTATATTTCGTGTAAGCAAAAATAGGTACCATGAGCCGATTATAAAATATATTAAAAAATTGCATAAAAAAGAATCAATATTTCTTTTTATATTTTGGCTTTGTATGTGTTTATAGAGCATTTAGATGATAACGGAATTTAAAACATTTCAATTAAAACCTTTATCAATATACACATACATTTCAATGCATATATTTGTTTTGTATCGCCTGGTGTAAAAAAGACAAGAGCAAATATGAATCAATTTGCAGCGTATGTATTATGAGCAATACAAATAATAAGCATTAATCATGCTTAAGACGCATACTTCAACTTGCAAAATCATACCCTGATACTAAACAATAAAGGGTGGCTATCATGTTGTTCCTTTCTTGACCACATTATTCTCTGCTAGGGTCTCTTTATTATAAATATATAGATTAACGCTTGAGATAAATGGAATAGTAGATATTATCTAATGTAATTGAGCTATTATATTTGTGAAAATAAAATATTGCGGTTTTAGTATTTATTTACAAGTAGACGCATTTTGCACAGAAATTATGATTTTAGCTGACGAAGCGTTTTTCTTTTGCTGTCTGTAAAAAAAAGGTTATATAGTATAGTAGTTGATCAATTTAAAGGTTCTTTGTCATATTAATATGCTGTCATAATGAAATGTGTATATCGAAATTAATGTTTAAAAAATGTGTTTATGATAATCTTAGCTAAAGTGATCATGTGACATCATTGCATTTAATTAAATATAAAATAAATACATGTAACTGTTACTCATATGCAATATCGTCAATGATTATAAACATTAACTGCTTTCGCCACTTTTTGACCTTTTTTGTCAATCTTGGACATCGAACATGGTATTTTGGCATATTCAACGCTAAAAACAAAACATGTAAGCAAATAAAAAAAAAACTTTTGTGACACATTACACAAAATATTGAATTTTGTTTACATCTGAATCTATTTTCAATCCGTTTTAACTCCGAGATTATTATGAATCATCGTTGAGTTGTTCCGATTGCCTAGGCTTAATACAATGAAACTATAACTATTATGGTATCCTACTTTATCATATGGATAGATCAACAAAGAAAGGCGCCGCTTCATTAACGCAATCCCCAACACCGTACAGTCACACATGTCCATCGGAAAGGCACCCTGTAAAGAAACGAACAGAATCAAGGCTTTCCATTTTTTTAAAATTTTAAAACTTTTAAGACTGTCAATAGACAATTTTAAAAAAACATTTTTTATTTTTTGAAAAACTATCAATGTTTTTCTGTTCTTTAATTCATTTTCCCACCACCCCCCAAAATTTCTTAATCTCAAGGGTCTGTAGCGGGACATTTTTTGAAAATATCCATTGGAATAAAAAATAATGAAAAATGAAGATCTTAAAGTTTGCTTAACACGGTATAATTTAAAATATTGCATTTCAGTTGATAGGAAGGACAAATCAAGCTACCGCCAATATTTTCCATTTTAGGGGAAATCCATTTTCCCCCTTCAATCAGACAGGTTCTTTCAAAAACAAAAAAATGTTGGTTTCAAATTTAAAATATATGTGTCCCTTAAAAAAGGGAAACTTACACAAACTCATGTCATTCTTTTTACCTCATTATCATTTTTTAAAAAATTATTTTTATTTTTCATCTACAAGATTCTATACATTTTCTTTACAAAAGTTTCATTGTAAATAAAAACTTTTTCCAAAATCTATCTATAAAACAAAAAATTTTTAAAAAACTGTTTCCGGTTGTATTTTTTGCTAAACGATTTGAAACCCTTTGTCAAGCTTTGAAATATTTCCCCGGGGTTTTAAACCCCTTTTTATGAAAAAAAAGGGAAAAAATTTTTTTTTGTTGCGCACCCTTTTTACAAAAAAAATTTTGCTGGCATGACAAATTTTGGAAAAAGGTTTATAAGGCGGGGTCCTTTTGGAACCCGGGAACAGAAAGCTAGCGACGATTTTTCCCGACTTTTTAGCCCAAAAAAAGGAAAATTTTTTTAAAAAATAACATTTAATTTTTTAAAAATATGATTTTTTGGTAGAATGTTTTGTACAAAACATAAAATATATAAGTTATGAAAATTTTTTTTTTTAAAAAAAAAGGCCTAAAAAAAAAAAAACGAGAACTGATTGAAATAAAAAACTTTTTATAAGGGAAAAATTATATTCACTTTTTCCCTTTAAAAAAAAATAATCTGTTATGTATTTTTAAAAAAATTATTTTTAACCAAAAAAACATTTTAAAAGGGCAGGCAAACCCAAGATGGGGACATTTTTTTCTAATATTACACAGTTTGTATTGAATCTCCCGGGAAAACGGGCTGGAGCATTTTAGGCCATTTGGGTTTTTAAACTTTTTGGGAAAAAGGGCCATAGAGGGAGACGAGGATGAATTTTTGCGTAGGGGAATTTCCTGGGGGAATTTTTTTCAGGGGACATAAAAAATTATTTTTAAAGGGAAAAGACAAAACCAAAAGGTTAAAGCATCATTTTATTTAACTTGTTTTCCATTACTTTTTTTTCTGTAAAAAAAATTTTAAAAAATGTGTCCGTTTTTGGACTTTATGTTTGTTTTTTGTAACTATGGGATTTTAAACCTTCATAAAAAAACCCAACGATTATTTGTTTTAAATTTTTCAAAGATAATTGATTGTTCCCGGGTCTGGTCCCACAAGTGGGCCCAATGAATAAATCCCAAATTTGCAATTTTTTATCATTTTTCCCTTTTGGGGTTCGTTTAAAAATTTTTTTAAAATTTTTAAAAGGGTTTACTTTCTGTTTGCCCTTGGGTAACTAAAACACTTGTATGGGAAACACTTTTGCCAATTGAAAAATTTAAAAGCTTTTTTCAGAAAATCCCAGATAAAAGAGTCGCCCAAAAAAAAGGGTTTTTCGGGGGAGACGCTTTTGTGGGGGAAAATTTTTGGGGAACATAGTTTGGGTTATTGTAACCAACAAAAAGCCCCGGGGAAAAGAAGGTTTTCCCATTTTCTGTCTTTTTGTTAGAAACACTGAATTTTTCATTCGTTTGCAACGAGCGTTTTTCCGGGCAAGGCCCTCAGAAAAAGTAATTTGCGTTTTCATTATTTAAAATGTTTTAAAAAATTTGAAAAAAAAGGTCCCATAAAAATTTCAGGGGGTTTTTAATTTATAAATTTTTGTTTAAATTTTCCCCAAAAAAAAAACTTTTTTCTTTTTTAAAAACTTTCAACAAGAAGATAAGTCGACAAATACAATTTATTACAGCGTGCAGAAATAATCACCAATACAACATCAAATATATTTATGACAGTTTACGTTAAATTCTTAAATTGTTAAAACAATATCTTCCGAAATACAAGTGAACTATAGTGAAATTTGTCTGTCAAAAGTATAAAAAGTGAGAAATGGATTAATAAATATGTAACATTGTATTCAAACAGAAAGTTGTATTAATATATCTTTTTCAGAGGAAAGACAGAAAGACCTAGATGAAATGAGGAAGATCTATGAGCTTAAACAAGACAAGTTACCTGGCGGACCCGGGGGCCCTCCACTGATAAAAGAGATGCCTAGCCGAGAGGAGTTTTCTTTTCTCCATAAAGCTAATTTGGTTTCAAAATTAGGTATCTTGAAAATTGAAGCCGATAAGCAGCTTTTATTTCACGGCAAAGGCGCTTTTCATTCCATTGATGAAATTAAACGTGTGTACGGACACATCTTTCCCGAGCCGTCAAATATAAAAAGGTACGTTTCCCAAAGTATATTTTTAATTTTTTTTGTTTTTTTATGATTTTAAACAGGCATTCCTCATTTTTCTAGAGAAATTTTTTGGAGCTAATCATTCATGTGAAAGCGGTTTAATCGTTTTTAAAAAATAAATACAATGTTTATAAGCAACATTAAAACATTACTAAGAAAAATCATACATCTTATTGAACCATATTGATTACATTGTTTTACATTTCTTTGAATATTGAAGAAAGATGATACGTAGGAAAAGGATCATGATAGTAATAAATCATTTAAACAAATAAGATATCGGTCAAAAGAATTTTTTTAATTGTTTTTTTAAAAAAATATTTGTCCTTAGCTGGTAAAATTTATCTTAGTTTAATGTACCATTTGATTCTTTTATATAGAAAGGGAAATTTAAAATGAAAAAAACAGCATCATATGCAAATTTTACCGATAAATTTATTTATTTTTCCACGGGTTCCCATGATACGAGTTTTTTGGGAAATTTGAAAACGTTTGATGAGTGTAAAAAAATCCTACCATGAACGTTTTTCACAAAATTCCGGGACAAACTGCATTTAAAAATTCTCTTTGTTAAAACCTTTTCCTTAAAGGGAATGGCCCCCTCCCAAAAACCCTATACAGAAGAAAGGGCTTTTTCAAAATTTTAAACTACGAATATTTCGAGGGTTTATCCCAAACTAACAAAGGGTTTTTAATAATGAGGGCCCCCCCGATGGGCATTTTTTTCCCCAAATTTAATAATGGCACCCTTGTACCTATTCCCCTTTCAGCTGTTCCAGTCCCCGAGTCCCAAATAATCCCGTTTTTCCTCCGAGCGATTCAACAAATACGTTGGACTTTTAGAAAAAATGGGTTTCCAACGCAGTTTGGAAATTTATCACCAATCAGTGACGCCCCTTTTGGTTTCACCCTTTAAGGGAGGGAAGGGAGTCGTCTTTTGTACACACCGACAAATTCATTATAGTCTTTCCTTTTTAAAAGGGCTGCGGTTTCCCCCCCACTTTCTGAAACCTCATTCTATAAATTTAGACGGGTTTCCCCAAAAACTATTTGGTGAGGAGGGTTTTTGTGAAAAAAACCCTCAACTTGGGGGTAATAAATGGAAGGGTTAGAGCTTATAAAAGGGGGAAGAAAAAAGGAATGGGTATGGAGTGATGGTCCCCTTTTCCAAATGTTTTAAAGGGGAATCAGGGTTAGATGATGGAGCACTTTTACCAAATTATTACTATCGAAGCGATGCTATGGAAATCTACAACGCTATCTACTCATATGTACAAAAGTATTTAGCTCTGTATTATCTTTCTGACGACGATGTTAAGAAGGATTTGGAAATACAGAATTGGAGACAAGAGCTTGTAGCACCCACTAAAGATAATGGGCTTGGTATGGAAGGCGGTCTTTGGAAAAGGGAAGGGGGGGCAAATTTACCAACAAGAGAACAAGTATGTCTAACAACTAACATCTGTCATCTTTACTTGCCAGCGTTCAACATGCAGCCGCCAATTTCCGCGCCAGTATGAAGATTACCGCATATCCACCTTTGGTAATCCTCTGAAACTTCATGAGGACCACCAAAATAATAAGCAAGATGTTGAAGAACCAGACTTCATGCAAGCTCTTCCAACTAAAGCAGAACTGTACAGTTACCATTTACTTTGTTATTACTTCTGCCGTTAATTACCAATGCTACGAACAGCCTTGGGAAGATTTTGAAGTGGAGTATAATCACAGATGGACAAAGCTCTTAAGGTTGTCGAGGAATTCAAGGCGGGATCTTGCACGCATTTCCATCAATAAAAAAGGAAAAAAAACAAAAAATTTGTCCCACAAATACTTGGGTGTCTGAATCCATATCGGGGTTTCCAAATTCAATAAGCCCTTTGATTGACTTTCTATTTGTTTCTTTTCCATCAAACACTGTACATTTTGGGGAAAAATGTGAAATTTTTCTTTTCTTTTACAATTTTTAATTTGAAAGCTTCACCGCCCAAAAGAGTTCAATTAGATGAAACCCCATTGGGAAAAAATTTAAATTTGAAAAAAAATAACCCAATTTCAAAAAAAAAGTAAAACCTTTTCCCATATAGTTCAGGAACAATTTGAAATTACCAGGTTTTAAAAACCCTATTTAAAAATTTTTAAAGACAAATTTTCGTTACAATTTTAAAAATTTTTTTAAAATTTTAAATTTAAAAAAAAGACTTTTTTGGGAAAATTTATTAATTTTTTGGGTATGAATTAGGGGATTAATGTTTTTCAATCTTTTCAGTTTTTCATTTTTTTAATTTACAGTTTTTTGAAATAATTTTTTTTCCGGGTTGGGGGAAAAAATTACAAATATTTACTTTTCATTTTACTTTGAAATTTTAAATTTAAAACTTTTTTTTTTTTCCCCTATTTGAAGTGATATTCACGCACAAAAATTTTTTCTTCAACCAAAAAACTGAAGTTTTTCCAAATTTATTTTTTATGTTGTAAATAAAAAAAGGTTTCTGCTTCAAAAATTTTTTGATGTTTTTTTAAAGTTAAATGAATATTGTTTAAAAAAATCCTTTTGTTTATTTAAAGATTTTTAGAGCTTTTATTTAAAATTTTTTTTTAATCGGAAACTCTCCCAAACTCTGTGGATTAAGAAAAAACGATAAAACTGCCCTTTTTTTTAAAATTTTTTTTAAAAAAAACCCAATTTAAATAGAAAACCTTTAAAAACCCTTTTTTTGGTAGAAAAAAAACGGCCTTTTTTGGGCACCAAAGTTGCATAACTTTAAAAAAGTTAAATACCCAACAAGGTCAATTAACGTTTTAACCCTGCTTTAATAAATTTGAAAAAAAAAAAAACGCCCCATTTTATTTTTAAAAAAAGGGGAAAAAAGGGTGATGCAAGTTTAATCACATTTTTTTAAAAAATCCGACCAAACCCCCCACTTTTAATCAGCTTTTAAATATTTAAAATTTTGAGTAAAAAAAAGGTTAAATAGAATCCTTTTAAGAAAGCCCAAAACGACCCAAAAATTTAAAAATTTCCGACCCGGTTTTTATTAAGTCTGTTTTACGGGAAAGGGGACTTTGGGAAAATCAAGGGTTTCCTTCAAGCCCCCCAGAACCCTTTAAACAGGGAAAATTTCAACATTTTTAAAAATGATGAAGTTTAAAAAAACCCCCAAATTTTACAAAAAGGGGTCATTTATTTTAAACCCCTTTATAAAGAAACTTTAGTGCCATTCCATGAAAAACGGCTATAGTTTCCCCCCCCAGGAAGATTTTTTGGCCCTTAAAACGAGAAAAACAATGGGGGAAAAAATAAATGGGAAATTTTAAAAAGGGGAAACACAAATAAAAAATTTTTAAAAAGGGCCCCATTTTTCCCAAGGGTTATTTTACTTTCAAAAATAACGAAACTGGAACCCCCCAAAAAAGAAAAAAGGGCCCAAAAAGAAAGAAATTTTTAAATACAGCCCAAAACAACAAACAATTTAAAAAGGTTTGAGTTTTTTAATTAAATAATCGGGGATTTTTCTTTTTATTTAAAAACATTGGGGTTTTTTTTAAAAATACAGTAAATGTTTGGGGTTTTAAAATCTTTTTGATTTTGAAAAAAGGGGGCCCATAAATTTTAAAAAGTATATTTTATTCCCTTTAAATTTTTTTTTAAATTTTTTACTGGTCTTTCTGGTCTTTATTTTTCCCCTGGGTTTTAAATTTTGACTATGACGGCCTCAAAAAATTTGGAAAAAATGTTTATAATTTTTTTCATTTCGGGGGAAAAAAATTTTTTTTGCATTTACCCAAAAGGGGGAAAATTTTGTTTAATTTTATAAGATGTTAGGACCCAAAACAAGCCCAAAAATTTTTATTTCCAATCCAAATTTTCAAAATGTCACAAGTGGACCGAAACGAAAATTTTTAAAAAATTTGGCAATCTTAAATTTTAAACCCGCTTTAATAAATTGATTCCCCTGCAGTTTCCAAAGGGAAAAAAAACCCAAATTAAAACAAAATTTATTTATTTTATCTGCGAAAAACCCCCAAAAAGTTCCCCAAAAACACACGACCTTTTAAAGTTTTGCCCTTTTTCAAAGTTTGTTTTTGTTCCAAATTTAAAACAAAGCAATATTGCCTTATATTTAACGGAACCCCTTCCGGGCCCAATTGTTAAAAATTTTAATTTAAAAAAAATCAGGGAAAATTTAAACTGTTTGGGTTTAAAGTTTCATTTTTCTCTTAATGGCCCCCCGGGTTTCACCTAATTTTGGGAAAAAAACCATTTATTTCCCTTTTTCTTCCCCAAAACCACAAAAAGGAGGTCACCGGTGACCCCCTATTTAAATTTTAAAGCCTTTATTAATATTTTCAAAAAAAATGGAAAGTGGTCACCAAGGGCTGCTGGGGAAAAAAAAAAAAAAAAAAAAATTAAAAAAAACCACCCGAAGTTGGGGTTCTTGATAATCTGGAAAAAAGGGGGGAGAGGGGGACAAACCATGCCCCCTTTGCTTTAACGGGGATTTTAAAGAAGAAATAGAGAAAATTTGGGAAAACCTTTAAAAAAAAGCCAAAGCGGCAAATTGAAATTGTTGCAGGCTCCGGGTTGAGCCGGGTTCATTTAACCCCGGTTTTTTAATTTAAAAGTAAACCCCACGCCCTGACCCCCTAAACAAAATTAACATTTAAAAAATTTTTGAATTTTGGGAAATTCCCTTTAAAAATTCTCGAGTGCAATTTTAAAAGGTGTGTAATAGTTTTAACAAACAAATTTGTTTATAAATTTTAAGTGCCCTTGTTTTAAAAAAATGGTTTAAAAATTTAAAAACCGGTGAGAAAGGGGTTAAAAATTTTGGTTTTAAAAAAAAAATAAAAAATTCAAAAATTTACCGTAAAATGTTTTCTTTAAAAAAAAATTTTTTTTAAAAAAAAAAAAGAAAAAAAAAAAATTAAAAAATTTAAAAAAAAAAAAAATTTTTTCTTTATAAGGTCAATTGGGGGCCGTTTAAAAAATAGGCGAAGGTTTGGAAAATTTAATTAAATTTTTTTAAAACTTTTCAAAACGTAAATTTTTAAAAAAAAACTTGGGAAAGGGTTTTAAACTACGGCCACTTCCACTTGACGACTTTCAAAAAATTGCATTGGAAAGGAAATTTCGGGTTTAAATTAAATTTCCCCCCCCAAAAAGGTTTACCCAAAATTTGGGGCCCCCATGAGTTTTAACCCCCCAGTTTTGGTGGTGAGGGGATAAATTTTTTGGGGTGCCCGCAAAATTTAAGAGAAAAGGGGGCCCGGGAAAACACGGGGTTTCAAAATTGGGTGGCTTTTTAAAAAAGAAAGGGGGAAAATAAAAGTGTGCGACAATTTAATTTAAAAACAAATATATTTTTTTTAAGCTCGGGCTTTTTTTTAAAAAAAAAAATAAGATATGTTTCAGTCATTTCCCCGTTCCAAATTGCCCTTTTTTGTCTTTCCAAAAAATTTAACATTGATCAAACTTTTGGCTTTTTGTTTTGTCTTCTAAAACCCCAAAAAACCTTTTTGGGACAAGACCTTTTGAAGACCGAAATAAAAATTTACCTTCATTTTATAAAAGGCCCTTTACCTTCAATTTATTTTTTAGATTTTTCCCGTTTAAATGGTTTTAACCCTTGGTTTAAAAATCTTTTCTTTTAAACCCTTTTAAATTAGGGCTTAACCCTTTTTTAAATTAAAAAATTTGGTTTTCCCCTTCCCACATTTTTTAAAAATAAAATTTTATTAAATCAAAAAATGGATTTTTTAAAACCTTTAAAAAACCTTTAAAAAATTTTTTTTCACAGATTTTTTCTTAAATTTCTGTAATTTGGGAAAAAATTATTATTTTATTACATGGAAAAAACCAAAAGGTTTTTCTTCCAAAAAATTTTCACGGACATTGGCATTGAGTTTTAAAAGCCTGACCATCCGGGTTTTTAAAAATTTTGTTAAAATTTCCCAAAATTTTTTTATGAAAAAATTTGATTTTATGGTAGAAAAAAAACTGTTGACCAAAAAAAAATTATTTAATTTAAATTTAACCCTTAACTTTCAGTTTAAAAAATTAAAAATTTAAATTTTATTTTTTAAAATTTAAATTTTTTAAAAAGTGGCCCTTTTTAAATTTTTAATTTTTAATTCAGCTAAAAGAAAATTTTTTTCAAGTGCCTATTTTAAATTTTAAAATTTATTTAAATTTTTTAATTTAAATTTTAAAATTTTAAAAAAAAATAAAAAATTTACCCTTTTACAGGGTTTTAAAAATTTTTTTAAAATTAAATTTATATTGAAAGAATTAACCTTAATTACCCACCCTTTTTCGAATTTTTCTTTTTCTTTTTGCTTGGTTTCTTTTAAAATTTTTTTACCCAAAATAAAAAAAAGGAGTCCGGAAAACCCCAAAGGGTTTTGAAAATTTTCCCCCATGGGGGCTTCTAAAACATTTTTTAGTTTTTTAGATTTACAATTTTGTTTTAAAAAATAAACTCCTTTGAAATTTTAAAAAAACCCCGGACTTTTTTAAGTGTGAAAAAAGTTTTCCTTTGGGGGGTTTCGCTTAAATTTAGCGATTACATTTTAAGGGGGAAATTAAATCTTTACACCCCTGGGCCTAAAATTTATGTATATTTATTTCCGGGCTTTTAATTTAATTAAAGGTTTTCCAAAAAAAGGGAAATTTTTAAAAAAAATTTAATTCAATTTCCAAAAAAAATTTTGGAAACCTTCTTCCTGTTTTTTTTTTGGTTTAAAAGGAATTAACCATAGGGAAAAGTTTAAAATTAACTTTTAATCAAAGTTACCCCAGTTTTAAAAACTTATTTCTTGATTCCTTTTATGGACGCCCTTTTAAATTTTTACCAAACTTTTTTTTTAATTTTAAATTTGGGAAATTAACCCCTTTTATTTTAGGACCAGAAAAAACAAAGGCCCAAAACTTTCAAAAACCTTTGATGAATTTTTATAAATTTGAAACAAGGGGGCAAAAAGGTTTTTAAATTTAAAATTTTGTAAAAAATGACCCGAAATTTTTAAGTGCATTTTTTTTTTCTTTGACAGGAAATTTGGCCCTTCACCCTTTAAGTTGGAAAAATTTCTATTATTTTTGATGTCCCTTTCGGCAAAACAAACAGTGGGCACCTTTTAAATTTTTAAATTAAAAAAAAAACCATTTTTTAAAATTTTTTTTTTTAAAAAATTTGTTTTAAAGTATTTGTTTGGGTTTAAGGGGAAAAATTTTTTAAAACTCCCTTTCCCACCCCGCCCTTTTTTTAAATTTTTTTTTAATTCCCCGAAAAATTTCACACAAATTTTTTTTTCTTCTTTGGTTTTAAAATTTTTGGAAAAAATCTTGCCGGATTAAAAAAAAGGGGCGCGACATCCGGGTACAATTAAAAAACTTCCCTTTGATTTTGTTTTCCCTGTTTTCCCAATTTATGTTCTGCGCGCAAAAACTTTTTTCTTTAACCCAAAAATAATAAAAATCCAGGTTTCCAAAATTGTGGGAAATCTTTCACGACATAAATTCTTGTGGCACGAAAAAAAAAAAAATTAAAATTTTTGCAAACCCCAAATCCCGGAAAACTTTTAAAGTTCCAATGGATTTAAAATTTCCTTTTTCCCCCTGGGGAAAAAGGGGTCCATCGGGATTAAAAAAAAAACAAAATTTTTTTAATTGTTTAATTAAAATTTTCTTTGGAAAAGGAAAATTTTTAAAAAAATTAAACAATTTTCTTTTTTTAAGGTTTTTTTTCGGAAAATTTTAAAAATTTTTTTAAAAAAATTTAAAAATAAACTATTTCGAAAAGAATTGGGGCCCAAAAACCCCAAAAATTTTAAAAAACCAGATAATTTATTTTTTTACTTTTTAATTTTGACGTTTTTACAAATTTTTTAAAAAACTTATTTTTTTTTTATTATTTAAAGGGGGAAAAATTTTTAAGGGTTTCTTAATTTAAATTTTGTCAAATTTAAAAACGTTAAAAGGAAAAATTTAATTTTTTAAGTATAATTTCCCCTTTTTAAAGGGGTTTAAAAAATTGCAGAAATTTTTGGGAAAAATTTTAAATTTATATTTTGGAAAGTTTTTACAAAAGATTAAAATTAAAAAACCCAAAAGGGACGACGTTCAAAAAGGGAAAAAAGTCCCCTTTTACAATTTTTCCCGTCAAAAAAAGGGTTTTTTTAAACAAATTCCAGTTTTTAAAAAAAATTTTGAACATCAAAAAAAAATGTTACGAAATAAAATAAATAGTAAATAAATCTGATTCAAAAATTTTAAAATAAGGGAAAAAATGGAAGGGTTTAAAATGAATTTTTATATTGTTTTTATTTTTTTTTAAATTTTTTATTTTTATTTTTATCGGGTTTTACGTTCCCCACCCAAAAAATTATAGTCATAAAAAGACTTCCGGGTTTGAGTGGGAAAAAGGGTTTTAGTTTCCACTTTCCCTATTATTTAAAAAAACGAACGGGCACCTGGGGTTAAAAAACCACCCACCCGGTTTTCCCTAAAACCATCTGGGTAGCTTCCTACATTTAAAAATTCAAAAATCCCCGTCGGGGGTTTTGAAAAACACTTTGATGTGAGGGCAAAATGGTTTTGGGGTCAACAACCTAAAATACTTTGGGCCCCGGCCTCCCCATATCATTTTAAAGGTTTCCCCATAAAAACCCCATTTTTAAAAATAAAAATTTTTTTGATCAAAATCTTTACTTTTTGATAAAGTTTTCCCATTGGGTTTCCTTAAAACAGAACTTCTTGTTGAAAAATAGGTTTGGGGAACTCATCAGATAAATCTTTACTTTATGATAAATTGTTTTGCGATCTAGTAGTTGATAAAATTATTTAAAATAATGATAGTAAGTAAGTTAATAAATAATATTTTGTTTTTTTACATTGTATTTCTGTGTTTTGATCTCGGTGGTTAAGTGGAAGATAAGGAACAACGGTTGGTTTACTATTCTTGCAATCTTTAACAAATTTTTAAAGCTTATCACGTAAGTCAACAACGAAGTTTTTCCAATGAACCTATGTCTGAATTGAACCAAAATTTAATTAGTAAAATGCAGTATTTTATTAAAAAATTTTATTGAAGTACAAGATCACCACAAAGGCGGGGCAATATTCCCCTAGATCGAAACGTTGTTGTGTATTTAAAAATAAATCTTTCAATTAGAGAAAGACATCCGTTCGTTCTTTAAACTTCATCAAAATGTTTTATCGATCAAATAATTCTTTAAATAACCCATCGATGGAAGCACCTTTACCCTAGGTGCTCGCTTCATTAAACTTTTTATAGAGGTCAACAAGGCTATTTCACATAACAAATATCTGAGCATGGTCACTGTTATTTCAAATATGTTTCCTTTATAAAGCCTAAATAAATCAAGTGACCCCGGGGTGGTGCCGATATTGAACCTAGGGGCATGAACAATATCATTTTTGTAGAGGTCTATAACGTAATGCTACATGCCGAATATATAAGTTCTGAACATTTTTGTTTCACAAAATAAGACACAAATATTATTTTTAAATAAAGCCTATATTAATATCATTTAGGTAATACTATATGCCAAATATCTAAGCTCTGGGCATTGTATTCTCACAAAATAAGACATAAAAGTTTTCCTATATAAAGCCTTTTTTAACTTTTTGGACCCCCGAGGCAGACCAATTTTTTTATTTAGGGAAAAATGCACACGTCTCATTAAACATTTTTTTCCAAAAAAGTTTTTAATTTCCTTTCCCTTGGGCCCAAAAATACAGAGCGGGCATTTAGATTTAAATTTAAAACATAACGGGTTAAGGGAAAGGTTTCAAATTTTTCTTTCTTTTTAGTTTAAAAGAAAACCGAAACCCGGGCACAAAATTTATTTAAAATAGGGGCGAACGCCAGGTGCATAAAAAAATAAATCGAAAATGAAAAATTTTCTTTGGGGTTTAAAAAAAAAACACCATTTTTTTTTTTTCGTTATTGCGTTAAAAATATTCATTTATTTTTTTGTAAAACAAACTTGTAAAAAATTAAAAAAAATTTTTTATTCAAAAAAATTTTATCAATGATCATACGTTAAGTGTTAAAGTTTAAGTTCATTACATTAGAAAATTTTATCTGAAACAACACTTTTTAAATGAACTGTGATAACCACGAGTGTTGTTGTTCCGTTTCCTCCCGCCGTCAATATTCAGAGTGTAGGGCTCTGTAAAAGCTCTAACGATGATTCGTCTTTCGGTGCTGCCGATATTCAGTGTGTAAGGTTCTGTAAAACTTTTAGAAGATAAGTCGTCTTTCGGTGATGCCATTATTCAATGTGTAAGGTTCTGTAAAACTTTAAAGATAAGTCGTCGTTCGGTGCTGAGTATACGCCAAATTCTATGTAACTGATCAATCTTGTCATTTTACAAAAGACAATGGTGTCAAAATGATAAAGTAATGCATTTTTCTGCTTCTATCAAGTATAATATAATTCCTAACTTTAAATTACTACGAACAAAAAACTTTTCAAGAACTACAAAAAAAAAACAAATCCCAATTAAAAGAAAGAATAATTTAATTTCCCCTTTTACCCCTAATTTGGGAAAATTTCCCGATTATATAATACATTATAACCCCAAAATCAAATTTTGTTTCAAAATATTTTCAAAAAAGACGATCCATTTTAAAACGATTTTTTAGTAAATTAACGCCGGATTTGTCCAATTTATTATTTCCAATATACTGTTACAAATGACGTTTTTGGAAGACGTCTTGGCATTGTTCACGTGATTTTTAATAGGATTCTTTCATCAGTAGTGTAATATTTTACATGACAACAAATGTTCTGATTAATAAACTTTATAATGACGTTTGACAGTCAGTTCGCAATTCAGTTAGATTGATATAGAGTTTGGGACACGCGTTGGATTTAAAGCCCAGTATTTTTCAATTTTTCTGTCCGTATTGTTTCTCTTCTTGTTGAGATATGCAATGTTTGCGAGATCGTTACGAAATTCAGCAAGAATTCTGAGCGCTTTTTCATCGGTGATATACTGGGCTTCGAAGTCCCCAAGCGCATGCGTAATGAACGTACTCAATACATCCGTTATGACTAATGTGTCATATGTTTTCTCTTTTTGAGGAAGGTATTTGAGAAGATCCTCCTGTTTTAGATTTTCTTTAGTTTTGGGTGGAAGCCCTCGTAGAGTCAGCGGATAGTTCGGTGGGAATGCATATTCTTCATACTGGCGGAAGTTGACAGCTGCATGTTTAACACTACAAGTAAAAAAGATACTCGTTAATGTTAGGCAAACCTGACTCTTTTCAGTAAATTTACCTTTATTTCCAAATACACCGAGCATACCAAGGCCTTTTTGATCAACAGGAGCAACCATTTCCTTTCTCCATTGCTGAAGTTCCTGATCTGTCATAACGTCATTATCTGTAGTGTAGTAAAGATCTAAATACTTTTTTACGTATTCAAAAATAGCATTGTAAATCTCCATCGCATCGTTTCGATAATAAAAATCAGGCAAGCAAGAAGTGTCATCCAAACCGCGTTCTTTCATGTCATTTGGAAGTGTACCTTCAATATCCATTCGCCAGTTTTTGTTTTTTCGATTGATAAGTTCCAATAACCCCTCTCTACCAATGTTCAGCAGTTTTACAACATATCCTTCGGCACCAATAAGTTCTGGAATCCCTGTCCAGTTGATAGCAATAAGGTAAAGGAAATGGGGCATCAGTAGCTTATAGATCGGATGTGTTTTGTACATTTGCCTGTGTGTTATCGCAACGATTCCCTCCATCTTTAGATGAGTAAATCCAAGATGCGTTACGGATTCGTGATAGTTGGCATCTGCGACGTTGAACCACATCTTTGCTAGAATCCAAGTATATTCAGGATCACTCGGCAGAAACACAGGGTTATCGACACCTGGCTTCTGAAATAGTTGGATAGCGATCGGTATAAGAGTACCATCATTTTGTTGATAAAAAAGCGCAATGGGACTGGTCATGGTAAAGTCCGGCTTTGTTGGTAAACCATCCATTATCTCATAATCTACTATGAAGATACGTTTCTTTGTTAAGGCATTCTCCAAACTCATTTCAAGAAAAGGCTTCAGCATTTGATTGTTGACGGGAAGTTTTGAGGGAATCTTCGTGCAGAGATGAATAACGTCAGGATTTACACCCATCAGACGCTGCATTCCAAATAATTTATCATTCCGCCACCTACAAATAGTTTTTTATAAAATAATGTATTACTAAATTTAGTGTATGCTCAACATTTGTTACCAACTGATTTGGTTTAATATACATGTAGCAAAGTATATTGATCTTTTTACACGTCGAATTATTCATGTAATTGATTGATTTCTTCAACATATTCTTACTTTTCTTTTAAGTCAATATGTTTGTACTTTCACAATGCTTGCTCTTGTGTAGGTAATTGTGTTTAGTTTTCTCTATCATCAAACAAATATAATTGTTGATAACTTTGAATAAACATCTCTAAAAATTTGAACATAATTAATTTGTCATTCCAGAATCTGGATTCCCATTTTTTTTTGCAAACAATTTTTTTATCATATGTAAAGAATACAAAGTTTAATACCTGGCAGATCGGATTTTTTTATATTTGTTTTCTTGAGTAGCTTTATTTGTATGCTGATATTCATATCCATTAACATATTAAAACATTTTCTGTGGCCGTTGGCTTTGTCGGGCTAAGTCAATGACGACAAAAACCACCACTATTTTTATAGTTTGTGCCTTAGTTTCTATTATTCTCAGCGGATAAGCCTTATTTTTAAAGAACATTCATTTTCTTAGGAAGGCGAAGGGTTATATATATTACATTGTTTTTCTACGGCTTTTATAATAAACATTTACCTTTGTAAGTTTGAAGGTTTTGGGAAGAACACCCCAAATACGTCCTCTATATCTTCCATGGATTCAAATTCTCCTGATATAAGCTCATCCCATTTTTCTTCCAGCTTTAATTTTACTAATTTCCCACCTATTTCAAATTTGTATGCAACCGAGAAGACTTCATTTGGTGGAAGCTTTTTTACAAGTGGAGGACAGCCTGGCAATCTTTTCTCTGTCAGTTCATAGAGCTTTCGCATTTCATTAAGTTCACGTTTTCTTTCCTCTGAAATTATTCAAGTAAAAGGTTCATCATCCACAAATTAGTTGTAACAACCATGCATTTTCCGATTTTCCGTAAGAAGTATCGATTTGGAAAACATTTAATTGAAAATTACTTTTGCTGACACTTGTAACATCTGTTATACATGGTGATATTGTTAATTGATCATTATGAGATAAAATAAGGAACACAAAAAAGAGACACATTGTTGCAAAACACAGAAACAGAAAATTCTAATATTAAGGTACATGCTCAAAAATTGTACGATTGTAAAATATATGTCAAGAATGAATCAAAACAACAAGTAATTAATGGTGCGTTTATGCTTATTGTGGTTTCAACATGACAAATATGTTTTCTGGAAGGACCTTTGTAAGACCATTCATTCTTGACAAATAATGAATACAAGTATAAGACAAAGGATCGGCATGTCGTAAACATTTTAAATACTTTATTGAGGTTGTCGACGAGACTTTGGCTTCAATACTTTTAAGAATCACATTAAGATGCTGCTGGCGGCAACTTGTTTCAATGGTTTGGAAACCATCCTTATCTTAAATGTCATCTAAGTAAAATAATTTATTTTGAATACCAACTTTTAGTTGAACTCTGTTGTGGAAGTGATACGTCGTTTATATTGAATTTGTAGGTTTGGTCGCTTTTTATGTTTGTGAATACAGGAAAAACTGATTGGGCTCCAGTGTTCTTTTTGGTTACCGTGAGTCTGTCAATATTCCAACCCCTCTCACCAATCATTGAATCACCTCGGATCTCGAGTTCATCAATAACGTCAAGCTGTGATGTAGAATTGATTTTGATTTACCAATATGAGTGAGTAATAAAGCTTGTAACATTTTTGAAAAAAAAAAGAAATTACAGAAACCGGTTAATAGGAATACTTACCCGAATGGTTAGTTTATCAGAATGTATGTCCTCATATGAATATAATACCAGTACTGGTTCAACTCGTAAGGTGACTCAAAAGAGAAAAAATTAGTCAAACACCTTTTTGACCTTACCTAATAATATATTTCAATGCATATTTGTTTTTCCTTAATATCATACATTGCTATCCTCATATAAACGCTTTATTACCTATAATTATTTGTGTCTCAAGTAAAACGGGTTAACATCCGTTAGAAATTAGATATATATTCACCTTTGGTTCAATAATGTTGAAAATGTTTTTGAAACCCCTTTCAAAGTTGTCAGGAAAACTAGACACGGCTAATTGTTCTTCGTAGCCCTCTTTGCCATTGCCTCTTAATTTTATACTAACTACACCTCTGCATGCGCCTAAAGGTTTGTCGGCTGCTTCCAAGCAAACTGTGTATTCATTTGACGACCTCCTTTCTTTTTCACATAATGCTCCATTATGTCGTCGTTTTGGCATTGTTTTTACCCTGCATTTGATGAATTATTTTGAAAGTTCTTTTCAACGGCTATGAAATAAGTTACGTGGTGTAAAATGGTATCATAACTGTGTCCAATGTTCACATTTTAGGATCATATTATCCTTATTCTGTTATCATTATCATTGTTTTATAAAAATCTGGAAAACGTGGCGATCCTTATGTGGCAATGAAATCACAAAATAAAATGAAAATAATTGCAGACTCGGTTTGATTGATTCTGTTCATACGGGATAATCGAAAGGTGCTACATCCCTCATATCCCACTCCAGTACCGCTAAGGCGGTATTAAATTTTCGAAACTTAATGTGCTTGAATCAATGATCCCGAATGACCATAAAAAGTAACAACACTGAAGTGAAGTTTAACAGCTGCCACATGGCACTTGACATCTGCTGTTTAGAAACACAGCATTAATTTTATAAGGTTCTTTAGTTTTGTTTATATTCAAAATGTTGCAAATACTGCTGATTTGTAAAAAATAAGTCTCATTTTCTGATTGAATTTATGAATATCGATACAAATTGTAGTATGAAATGCATCAGAATAAAGATCAAATCAGGATAAAAAATAAAACTTTTGATTTTTAACATTTTTGATACTTAGTACTGAATTTTTCATCAACTACCTTTATAAATGGAAAAGTAAATTACAATAAACAAACTAACTGTAGTTATAAGTACTTTTGATACAACATTGTCATGTTCTGGTATAGAAAAATACAACCTCTTCTAATGTCAGTATAAAATTATCACAGATTGGAAAGCAAATGCGAAAGTGTAAAGCAATCAAAAGACAAAACCTCAAACAAAATTAACGTTTTTGTACACTACAAGTATAACAATTTACAAAAATTGAAATATTATTTACACAGGGACATTATTTTGTAACAAACAAATAACTGTTTCAACATGAACAAATTACATCTGTAATCTATGTGAATTTTGCTGTAGGTATATATAGAGAATAGAACATCTCTCAGCGAAAAGGTACAAATATTCTGGAATAATTTATTCAGATTGCTAAATGAAATAGAAATAAATGTAACGCATGATTTTTTTACATTATCTTTTCACTCTACATATATAAGACAAAGTCTTATATTTTCAATTTTTCAAAAGCAACAAATTAAAGAAACAAACTACAGGTTAAACTTATTAAAATTTGAAAGATGTGTTGCATTACAGAATGATACATTAACGAGACTTCTATAAAGTGTTGAGAATTGAGTACCGCTCAAGCCGGTGCTAGGGGGCGTGAGAGATGTTGCACTTATTCATTTTCCCTCATGTACAGACTCAATCAAACCGAGTCTGCAATTCTTATGTTATTTTGTTGTGATTAATGCTTCCGAGGGATCACTTTGTTTCCAGAATTTTGATTTTTCTTTCACGCTTTATGTACGAGGTACAAAAATTTATTTCATGTAATGTTTACATATGTGCTATAGTTGTAATATATGGTGCGTTTTAAGGGCCTTAAACGGGTTGCAAGCACAAAAAAAAAAATTAAAAAATAAAAATAGAAATAGAAAGATCTTGAAAAGTAACAAAGATATTTTAATTTTCTACCCTATCATATACTACTTAACTATCATCTTTTTTGTTATTGATGTTGTTGTTGTTTCAAGATCATTTTAATTTACAGTGTTAAACATGTAAGTGAAAAAGAAATAAATCTTAAAATAAATGTTAAAATATTAACTTTGATCCTGATCTTTGCCCTTATTTTTAATCCATTGTAAAATGGGTTGAGATGATTATGTCACACGAGAAGAAATGCAAGGCTGACAGTCTTGTTTTTCAGAACTTTTAAAGTCATAAATATTTGGTGTAATTGTTTAACTTAGGTTGAATGCATCTAACCATAGTTTATTATTTACATTTGTTAATTACACATTTTCATTTCTCAGTAAATAAAAAGGAAAATCTTAAAGAAATAATATACTAAAGAAATTCTTCAAAACTGAGTGCAAACAATAAATGGTAATATAAAAACATTAATTAATAAGCGTGTGAAGAAAACATACAAATTATTTATTTTCAAAACCAAGAAAACAATTTATGATTCTTACAAAAAAAACGACATTTTAATAAATGAAAATGAAAAATAAAATTCCAAAGAATTGATATATGATATTATATAATGATTTACTTTTCCTCCTGATGGATTCAATCCTAAAGCGACCTTACACGTATTAAGCAGGCTTATAGCAAAGCGCGCATGAGTAAAGAAGCTGTTAAATTCCATGAAAATGAATACTCCTATTTTAATTTGTTCTCGGAATAATTTGGGAATTCGTTTTGCGTAAAATTTTCAATATAACTTTTTATCTGATGTAATGTTTTTGACATGGCGACATGAAGTGTGAATATGATTTAAAACTTACGATTTTATTTAGTAATAATTGTTTTTTATTAATTTATGCATTAAATGTCTTTGATCTTGATAGAAAATAAATTCATGAAAAAGAATGTCCTTGTAATTATTTGTTTAACTAAAATATCACCATTGGCCATATTTCTATATTTCGCTTTTTTCCTAAGTAGTTATTTGATTAAGCATTTTTAGTCCAGTCATTCTGTAATTCGACCTCAAATAAATTGCTTGCAACAGAAAAAGTTTTGTCTGCTATAGTAAGCATATGAATTGAAATAAATCATATCAGAAGTTGCGCAACATAGAAAAAAGGGTTTTTATCGCGGTACTTTTTGAGATTCTGTCTGACTGCAACGATCTTCCATAGGCGAACAAAGCGTCTGCAATACTCAGATATCATGCATATCCGTTGAAGGTCAACAGGTATTATATTCACGGAAAACAGTTCAACTCAACTAAATTACACCTCTGATTAACCCCTGTGTTAGTTAAACATGCGTAAACGGCTTAAAAATGTGTATTTATAACAAGTTGTTTTTCGACAGCTTTTTTAACTTTGGAACGCCATTACCACTTTAATTGCGACGAATTACGTAATGTGACTTCTGAATACTTTAATCACGGTTTATTGTAAAATGAATAAAAGGTTTTTATTTTTTATAGTTTTTTAATTGTTTTGCATATATGTAATGTTATTACTATTTCAGGGGTACCGCTTTAAATTTGATGTATGCTTGATTTTGAAAATAAAAAATCCAGTAAACTATATGTATATTAAATGAGTAAGTTTGCTTACCTGTGCTTATATTTGTAATATGTTACATATATTACACAAATATTTGATTCTTTATTATCTTTAACTAGTTTTAGTGAATATTAAACATGGAGGAAATAGAGCGTATTCTGCATAATTCAATATATCTGAAATTATTTTCAGTTTTTTAATGTAGATAGAAGATATGTATACATGAAAAGGTAACATGAAAAAAATTATCAATAAACAACCGTGATTTCTATTTATGGTTCATGATTGGCGATGTGCATGAGTTCAGCGTAAACATTCAGAGTTGATCCATCAGTTAAAAAAATCTTTATGCATACAATAGCACGTCCGCAATTTGTAGTGTATTTTAAGATTAATTCACAGCGATATTAAGTTGACTTTAGAACAATTTTATCGCTTTTAAAATCAAAATTTAAGCAAATTACAATGAAATCATCTATGTTTTCTATAGAACATTATTTCACGTTAATATGAAAATTAGTTTCTATTCCTTTCAAACTTAAAGTAATTACTTTGTTATAGATTACATCAACACACCGTATGCCTGATCATGTATTCTGATGTAATGTTTACGAGTTAAATGTAAACTTAATATCCATTTTAATCTGATGGGCATTAGAAATACTTAAAATTGAAAAGAGACATTTTTAAACTCAATATGTGACTTTATGTTACTTCCATACACTTAAGCCAGTAGGTATTTTTAATATCTTTTATAATTTAAGGTTACCAAGAAGCCTTTTAGAAAAAATGCATGTTATAATACCACGCACTGTTCTGGGATAACTGAAACAATTTGAATACATAACTAGTAACCGATGACCAGAGTACAATAATACAAGGGATGATTCAGAAATACCCGTTAACAAACACTATATTACTGCGTTATATATATTTTTTACAAGGAATATAATAACAAGGAAACAAGAATATAATAATTAAACACAGCATGCCTACCACATGAATATCAAAGAAAACATAGTATTTGCCGCTGTATGCAACAAAATGTCGATGCTTTATTGTTCTTATAAATAAAAAATCCTCCCGATGCCATTCACTTATACATACATATACTATGCTCAAATTTGATTTTTAGAAATATAAATAATTGCTACACAGTCTCTTTGTATGTATAAAATAAACATGTTTGGACTTCATTTAAAGTAGATATGAGATGTTTTGAACTCTACACACTATAGGTGGTCACAATATGTATATATAGTGTCATTAAAAAACTGGCAGTTTTTTTTAAGAATAGACCAACTATACTTGACCCGTAATAGGGAATGCAGCTTCCCATACATAGTTTTTTCATTATTTTATTCAAATTTAACACATTCAGTAAGAATTCCATGGATTTCAATACATTTCAAAGATAAAAATAGTTTACCAAGAGATGAGCATAGTATATCTTTAAGTGTGCTTACAACCTAAACCTCTGACTATTGAACTGTTATTTGATATGACTGCTGGGGGACCGGGGGTGAAAATTCATACGCATCTTAAAGTTGAAGGCATGATTCATTTCATTTCATTAAATGAAAAGTGCATGATAAAATCAGGTGTGAAAGAAAACAAATAAAGTAGTGCATGATAAAATCAGTTCTGAAAGAAAACAAAGTACGAAAAAACAGCACATAAAATGTAAAAACGTATTTTTATAACTGTACTTATAAATCAAACGACTCGGATTGTCTTTATTTCAACAATTTTCGTTATGGTTAAACACAACAAATACCAGTACGTTTTATCTTTAAGACAACTCTAACTGTCTGAAAAAAACTTCTTTACCACTCAAAAACTTTTGTATGGATATCATATTTGTGTTGAATTTCTTTTATCATTTTAGATGTTTCTAAAGGAGACT